CCTGCCTTTCAAGGCGGGCCAGACTAAGAAGCCAAGGCCAAGTAGGTCAGCCAGTCTGAATGTGCTTCCCCCTCCTTTTATTTATTTAATCAAATTTATATAGCCACCCATCTCACAGAGGTGATTCCGGCAGCGTACAATAAAACAATCAGTTGAAACAAATATTTATCTTCTTGTGAACTAGGGAGGGACTTGCTTTCTTGGCCTGGGTTCAAGTCCTGCTTATTTGACCGTTGCTTTGGCAGCAGCTCTTGGGAAACATCTGTCTGGCAAGATGGGCACCCCCAAGTTGGTGAGGTTAGGGTTCCCAGCAGAAAATGAAAAGGGGGGCGGGGGGAGGGTTAGGGCTAGCAGCAGCCCCCTCACAGTTTCCAGAAGCAGCAGCCCGGCCCTCCCGCGTCCTGCCGGCCTCTGCGTGTGCCACGGGAGGGGGCGGCTGGGTCATTCTTCTGGTCTGAGCCAAGCCCCCCGACCCGCAGATCTGTGCGGCTTCTTCTCTGCCTGCATTTAGGAGAGCGCTTAGCCCTTCCTTTAGGACAGGCAGCCTCTGAGGCGTTTAGGACAGGCAGCCTCTGAGCCCCCCCCCTGCCATCCATTGCTCACCTACCTGTTTCCTTAAAAAGAAAGTGGGGATGTGGCAGGGGTCTCTTAGGGGGCAGAGGGGACTTAGGTGGAGTCTGTCTGGGTGGCGAACTCCAAAAAAGCAAGCAAGCTTTGCACTTTGCTGGGGAGCTGGCAAGGTCTAGTGGTTAGGGTCAACCAGACGTGGAGACCCAGAAGCCCCGCAGGGGACTCTGGGCCAGTTCATGCCCGCGTGGCCCGGCCTACCTCACAGAGCTGTTGTGGGCAAAACACATCTTTTGCTGTGCTCTGATATAAACACATACCTGCCAAAAACACAAACACAGACCGGGCCCCCCTGCCTTCGGCACCAGCCACCTCCCTAGCTCCACCCGCACCACAAAGCGCGGGGCGGGGGCACCTCTTTCCCACGCAGAGGCCGGACGGCTGCTCTCCTCAGGGCACGGCCCAGAAGACCGCTGGCGGCACGGGACTGTGCCTACAGAGAGCACGCCTGCCCCCAGAGAGCCAAGGGGACGCTGCCTCTTTGGCGAGGCTCGGCCCTCCCCTAGGAGAAGGCAGGAGGCTCACCTGCAGGCGCTTCATGGCTTCCGAGTCCTGGTCTGCCTTGACCTTGCAGGCCACTAGCAGCTGCGCTGTGGAGGCCGCCACCTGTTTGGCTGAGGAAATGAGCTTCTCTTCGCTGGCGTGGCCCTGGACGGCCGCGTTGGCAGCTTCACAGAGGTTGTTGGTGGCAGCAGCGACCATCCGGGCCTTGGGCAGGGGAAGAAGGGAGGCGAAGGAGGGGTGAGGAGGAGGGGTGGATGGCGGCAGCTGGGGCACTGCCACTGGCCGTGGAGGGCCCATCCAGACCGGTGCCCCTAGAAGCTGCGGCCGCTGCCCGGGGAGCCTCCCTTCCACCCGGAGCACTCCTAGTCCCCCGCTGCTCATGCTGACGGGGCTCTGCTCCGCAGGGTGGGAGGGCAGGAGCTGCAAGTCCTGCCTGCCAAGCAGCTCAGGGGTCTTGGGGGCCAGCGCAGAGCTACGGTCTTTCTGCGCAAGAGCTCCGGAGAAGGTCCCCTGACTGGTGGCCCACACTGGACAGAGTAGAGAGGCCAGAGGCATCTGCCTCCCTCTTGTTACACAAGGACGTCATTCTAAGCACATCCAGTGCCCCTTTCCAAAGTGGGAGCACTGAGAAGAGGCAGTGCAGCGGGGGGACAGGCCCCTCAACAGCCCCCTCCATACTCACTGCTGAAATGAGGCCTTGAGACCACTGTCCATCGTCCAGGGCGTTGGCTGGGATGGCGCCCACCTGGCAGAGGCAGAGAGACAGGATGGATGAGGGCCCGGGGGTCGGCCCGAGGCCGGACGCAGGTGCCTCCTGCCCAGGCGCCCCCCACTCACCTTGCCTTGAGCTACCAGCTCCCTCTGGGCCGCAGAGGCCGCCTTCACCAGCGCGCTGGTGGCTGCGGCAATGGACTTGGCTGCCTCCAGAATCTGCTCTTCGAAGTTCAGGCTCTCGTCTGCTTGCTGGAGGGAGAGAGGACCCTCAGCAAGGCAGGGGGCGGGCCCCCGAAAACCTCTCTGGGCCTGGGATTCTGAGCAGGCGGGAGCGGTTCTGCTCCCACGCTCCTCCTGGAATGAGTACAAAGAAGCCCCAGACGCGCCCATTCCTGCGGTCCAGCTTCTCCTAAGAAAATGCCCTCATTCCCCAAAAGAGGAGGAAGCCCAGCCAGCACGGGGAACCTTCAGGCCACGTAACGTCAGCGTGTCCAAGCCAAGGCTGGACGGGAACTGCTGGTGTCCTCCGACAGGCTCAGGCCCCCTCTGCATGTCTGAGAGGGACTGACCCAGGGTGTCCGTGGCGCCGGCAGCTCTGGTGCGGCGAGGGGGGCCAGGCCCCCTCTTCATCCCACGATGGTGGTGGCAAGGAGGGGCACACTTGCCCCGGCAGATCTCAGCTGGCAGCGACTCCCATGCTCTGTTCGGTAAGGGGGGAGGGGGAAGGAGGGAGGGGGAGGGCCCACCTTGGGCTTGGCTCGTGGCTTCAGCTGTTCCAGTTTCTTTGCTGCAGCTTCAATTGCAGCGGCCGCCCCCAACAGCTCATTTTCGGCTATGACGGTGGGGTCCTCGGGGTCCACCCACTCCGTCCCTGGAGGAGACAAGAGGGCACGGGGTCCAGAGCCCGCGTCTGGGCCGATGCAGGCGATGCCCGACTCCCAGCTCCGTCCTTCCGCTACCTCCCGTCTTAAATAAGCAGCAGCGATTCACCAGTGCCCCAGTGGCGCTCACGCCAAGGGCTTGGTTGGCCACATCTCCCCTTGTTTTTGCAGGTTTGGCTGACCATGTGGTGTAAATGCAGCCCACTGGATCAGTTTGCGCTCCAGCGTGTTGTGAAAACCCAGAAAAAGGAGAGATGTGTTGCTTGAATGCAACCAGGGTGCCCTCTGAGTAGGAGGGCGGGACGTGGCCCACCGACCTTTCATGGCCTCGGCTGCCTGGATGAGCTCCGTGACGGAGCCGGCCACCCGCTTGGAGTACCCGGCCAGCTGCTGCTTCAGGTCGTGACTTGGCTTCTGCAGGATCTGAGGAGAGGAGGAGGAGCAGCGCTGGGCGCACAACCAAGGCCCCTCGGTGCCCACTGGAGCCCGCGGCTGCCGGCTGCTCAGGAGGGGTAGGGGGCGAAGAGAGCCGTTGGGAGGAAAGATAACGGGAGGAGGAAGGGGCTGGAGAGGAAAGGGAAGGCGGAGAAGATCTGGGCTCCCCCAGAGAGAGAGTAGCTGCACAGGCCTGAGGGGCAGGCTGGGCATCCCGCCTCGGGCTTCAAAGTGGCCTCTTCCTCTGCCCAACCCGTCCGGCTCTGCTGGTGTGCCCGTCGACAGCGCTACTGGGGAGCGCTGGCCCCTCCAGCTGTGTGCGAAACACCAGCAGGGTCCCATGGTGCTTCCCCCGGCCCACAGGACCGGTGCTGCCTCTGCCCCTCAGCACCCTGGCCGAGCAGGGACGTGGAACCAGAGGACGCCCTCCCCGAGCGAGGTCAGCTGCACTGCACGCGGGGGCCACCTTCCGCCAGCTAGCCACGCCCCTGCGGTGCAAAGACCAGCACACCAAAAGGCCTGGGGGTTAGCGTCCTGCCCTGCAGGGGGAAGGCAGTCGCCCTCAGCCCAGTCCTGACCCCCCATGCCGAATGGCTCAGGGGCCGACCCCTCCCTTTCGCTAGGGTCACCCCGTGTGGACCTGCGGCATTCCTCCATGTGCAGCGCATGCCGTACTCACCGGCTGGGCAGAGGAGAGGAGAGGAGAGGAGAGGAGGAGAGGAGGGACGAGGAAAGCAAAGGCTGCTGAGGGTGGGGGGAGTGCCAGGCACCTACCACCAGGACATGCTCCAGGAGCTCCAGGTAGCCGCTGGCGCACTCCTTGCCGAAGCGCAGGGCTCGGTGTCGGACCTCGTTGCTGACCTCTGGGTGGCAGGCGGCCTCCTGGAAGGCAGAGGACCTGAGGAAGCTCCAGCCCAGTGGTGGATGCTCGCCAGCCCCACCTACACGGGGAGGAAGAGGGGCCGCCCTCCACCTACCGGGAACTCTCCAAGTGCAGCCCCCTGGAAGAATGGATCTGCTCCCTGGGGAAGGACTGCGAGAGCCCAGCGGGAGGGGTGACTCGGGGGGGGTCACCTTCCCCTGCCGAGGCCAGCTTTTAGCTACGCCCACCTTCTCCAGCCCCCCCCCCGACATTACTTATCCAGAGAGCCCGCCTGAGCGCGCCACCCTGCAGGACCCCTCGGGCCCCAAACAGAGGCAATTCCAGAGGGAGCCTCCAAGCACTGGGTCTTCTGCCTCTGTTCGTGACCAGTCGAGGTCCCATGCACCGCACCTCCTGAGAAATGGTCCCAGGGCCCGAAGGGCCTTTCCCCACCTTGCAGGAGCGCAACATGTCTGCGATGGCACGACGGCTCAGGTTGGCCGTGGCTATCACGTCTTCCTGCCGGCAGGAGTTGCCGGCTGCCACTGCCTTGGCTGTTGCCATGGTGATGCCCTTAGTCATGCGGATGAAGTCTTCTGGTGTCGAGGTTTTGGCGGGGGGCACCTGGGAACAGAACACCTGGAGGAGGAGGAGGAGGAGGAGTCAGCCTGGGGGAGCAGGCTGGCAGTCAGTGGGTGCAGGGGACTGGGTGGCACTCACCGCCAGCTCTTGCCGAATGTGTTCAATGGTGGCCTCCAGCGCCCGGGTCCCCTTGGTGGCCTCGTCCTCCACCGCTTTGACAGTCTTCAGGAGTGACGTAACGTTGGTAACCATCACCTGCCGACGATCAGCCAGAGAGCTGCTGGGGGACCAGCTGGCTGGCCCGTCTCCCACCTGCCTTGTGCGGTGCCGCACTCCCCCTGCCACCAACGGAAAGACTCCGCTGGGCCTCCCTGCTCCACCCTGTGCCTGACCTTCGCCGAATTCTTCAGCTGGTGCACGGCGGGATCATCTCCGGACTTGCCAGCAGCAGCTTTGGTCGCGCTGATCAGGTCTCCCAGAGCTTTAGCGACATCTTTGACAGCGTTGATCAAAACCACCTGGGCACAGGCAGAAGGGCAGGGTGAGGCAGAGCCACCAGGACCAGCCCAGGATGCCTACCTGCCAGTAGTTGCTTCCCTGACCTGAGTCTCTGGGTCCTCGGAGCCCAAACTGGCAGCTCCCAGCTTCACCACCTCTGCCAGACGTGTGATGGTTGCCACCGAGGACTGGGCAGCTTGGGCCAATCTCTCCTGGCTTGCGGTGGCATTCTGCACCAACACCTTGGTGTCTTCCACCAGGGCTTTTGCTGTCTTCAAGATGCCTTCCCTGACAAGAAAAGAGCATTTCAGAGCGTGCTGGCGGTGGCCACGCCCAATGAGGCAGCTGCGGAGTCCCACCCACCCCCAGGAGCACCACCTGTGGTCAGCAAAGGTCTCTGCGTTCTCGCGATTGAGGGTTCCAGCCGTGGCAAACATGATGGTCGTGTCCAGATCTGCGATGATGCCTGACACTGCGCTGGCTGCTGTGATGCACGCCTGAGTGCCCCGGTTGCCGGCCTGAAGGGCCGCCAGCACGTGTGACACCTGCAGAGGAGCAAAGGCAGGACACCCCGCTACAGCCCGTGGACCTGACCCCCAGTGTGCACCCAGGGGAAGCATGGGCAGGAGGAGGACTTCTCTGCTCCCAGGCCCGGGGTCTGGCTAGAGTCACCTTCTCAGAGACCCTGCGGGCACATTCGATCAGCTCCTTCTTGGTGTAGGCGTCGCTGGGGCTGCACTGGAGGGCTCCAGCCTTGGTCACTAGCGCGGCACAGCCATGGCCAAGCTCCTGCACTCTGTTCTTAATGTGGGAGCCAATCTGGAGGGAAGCATAAAGTTCAGGAGAGGGTCACTCCCTGCCAGGCCCCTCTCAGTGCCCTTCTGCGGGTGGAGAGGACACGATCCTGCTTCTTTTCAACAGGTGCACTTAGGAGCTACCTCAGGCCCACCATGGACGGAAGGGGCCCCGATGCTTCCCTTGCCCTCAGCTCTTATGCCCATCAGCCCAGGCCAGGATACGGATTCCACAGGAAGGGCAGAGGTACTTTACGGAGCAAACTCAAGTCAGGGAGCCTTGCCAGCCTCCCCTCCCCTCCCCTCCCCCTTACCCCCCAGGGAATCAGCCTGCCTGGCGCCCTCTCCTTTCCCAGGGCTTCTGGAACAGCTTCTGTTCCCATTCCTTGCCAGACCATCTCCGTGGCTCTCTCCACCCCCACATCTCACACCCGCCTTTTGAGCCACGGCCTCCCTCACCTCTTCGTTCTCCGCCGTGAGGGCAGCTGGCTTGGCCTGTAGGGCCAGGTACCCATAGTCCGTGGTGAGCTGGTTGGCCAAGACGCCAAGTTCATCCGGGTTGGTGGTGGACTTGGTCACCTGTGGCAGCGTAAAAGGTAAGAGGCAGTGAAGGGGGATGGGGGAGAAAGGATCTGGCCCAGGCTCCAGAGGGGGGCCAGTGCAGGAACCAGTCGGCCTGGCTCTGTGGCGACCCTGCACATGAAGCCCCAAGAGGGCGCCCAACCGGCTCACCATCTCCTGCACCGTCACAGCTATGGCCTTGGCAGTCTTCACCATGGTGGTCTGGTAGTCCACAAAGGTGCCTTCGGGCTCTCCCATGGGGCCCTCGTCCAGCTGCGCCAACAGAAAGAGACAGCTCTGTCTCACAGCCCAGCATGAAGGCTGCTGCTCTGCTTCTCAGGAGGGGTCCCTCCCACCCAGCCACCCACTGCCTTCCTTCTTGACACAAAGATTGCACTGGTGGAGGGAGCGGGCAGATAAGCTGGCCGATGGGGGGACTTCTTCAGCATCCCAAAAAATTCAGCAGCCAAGCTCCTGAACTTTCAGGTCCAACCTGAACCACTCGGGCTCCCTCCTGATCACCCCTGGATGTTCCCGGCTGCCTCTACAAGGGAGCCAATTCTCAAGGGAGTTCGAGGAAGGTTCAGCAGGAACTCCTGGTGCCAAGTCCAGGGACCCCCTAGAGAAGAGGCGTCCCCCAAGCCAGAGCTTTCAGTGAATGCCAAGGGGCCCAGGGCGTCCTGCCCCTGCAGAAGTGGTGCTCAGGAGCAGGACTGTGGCTCTCCCTGCTCACCTGGTTAATCGCCTGCGTGATAGAGTCCACCATGCCGCCTACCACCCCTGCGGCGCTGGCTGCCTCGTTCAGGGTAGCCGTGAGGTCTTCCACTGCCTCCTTCATCATCTGCGCAGCTTCCTCGAGGGCTTCCTGCGTGTGAGCCACTTGCTGCAGAGAGAGGCCCATGTCACACCCTGGCAGGAGCTGCAGCCACCACATGAGCCTGGGTGGTACATGCGCAGTGCCAGGCCTGGGCAAATCTCCACACCCGTGCAAAGCCCCACGTGCACCCGACTGACCAAGGTGCTGCCAGGTACCTTGGGGTTCCCCCCAGCCTCCTTGGCCGTGTAGAGCATCTGCAGGCCTGACTCCGCCAGCGTCTTGGTCTGGTCCAGGAGGTTCATCTGCTGCTGGTGATTGAGCATCTTGGAGGCTGCGCCCACGGCAGCCAGAACCAGAGGTTCAAAATACTGGGCAAGTTGGGAGACCTAGAGCAGGAGGGAAGACAGAGCACAGGCGGGGTCAGGGATGGGCAGCCCCTCTAGCCTGGCCAGCTCTCTGGGGTGCCTGCACACCCTTGCAAACGGACGAGCGGAGGAACCGCGTAAGTGCTTGGGCAATCAAGCCGCCAATCCTTGAGTCCAAACGAGGGCCAGCGGTCCAGTGTATGGCTTGGTCCAGAGGACAACACTGCAGGCTCTAAGGCTTCAGGTGCCAAAGGCACCCCCCATCCCAGCACTGCCTGCCCCACACTGAGTCCCTCCAATCTTCTTCAGGGCCTCGCCTTAAGGCTTCCTCCACCAGGCAAAAGCCGCTCAGGAACCGTCACCAGTAATACCTGCCGTGCCAAATCTCACCCTAGTGCTGTGTGTGTGCGTGTGTGGCAATGGGAGATAGGCTGGATTTGTGGCTCCAGAGATAGCCCAGGAAGGACGGCAGGCAGACTCACCAACCACAGCAGGCCAAGACTTGGCCAGGACCCCCCGGGCCTCCTAACCACAGCTTGCGGTGAAACAGCCCCCAGAGCGGCCCGGCTGCGTCCAGCCCTAAGACCTTCTGCTGGCAGCCTCCCTGCAGCATTCTGCACCCCCGGCCCTGGAGTCATCCCCCGCCTGGGGAAGCCATGCCAATCACAAGCCAAAACACCCTCCCTGCCATCCCCTGAATGTCATTTCCCATGTTTAAACATTGCAGTGATGCCTGACTTGGGAATGAAAAAGGGGAGGTGTTGAGACGGCCCTCAGGGCTGTGGCTAGTTGCAGTGTGATGGGGCCAGAGGAGGTAGGGTACACTTTTTGGACCTGATTTTCTTTGACTCCCCCCAGTCCTCCTCCTAAGGAAGCAAATTAAGGCTCAAACAGCTATTTTACTGCTTGAGGCCCACCTAGCTGGAGTCCGAAGTCCTGGGGTTTTCAGCTTAGCTCCTTCAGCTGCCCAACTCCTCCCCAGAGAACCACAGGAGAGTAGAGTTAGAAAGCACCTGAGGATCACCTGGTCCACCCTCTGCCATGAGCAGGAAAAGATCATTTCTCAAGCTCGAAGTCCAGCTTCTTCTCAAAAGCCTCCAGAGATGGAGAAACCACAATTGCCATAGGTAGACCATCCCACTGTTCCACGGCCCTTACCACCGGCCAAGTTTTTCCTTATATTTAAATGAAATCTAAGTTGCTACAACTGAAAAAGCAGAATACCAGCCCACCCACTTGGGGGTCCTAAGGCTGCATTTCTGCTGGGTGACTTACTGCCAGCCCTACACTAAGGCAAAGGTGACCTCATCCGGGGACGGCCTGCGGGGCAATCGGGTGGCACTCAGAGAAGCTCATAAGATGCTGGTGGGCCAGCCATCTGTCTTCAGACTAGCCTCACTCGTAGAATGGTTTTCAGGATCAAATGGGTCAGGGAGAGGATGAGCAATGTCCACTTTCCTGAGTTCGCTGAGGAGGATGAACTGGAATCAAGGGCACCCGAAACCCAAGTCAACAAAACACAATGACTGTGGAGTCCTTGGGGTTCTCTTCTATTGGTATAATGACCGTGTTCGCACAAGAGACCACGGCCAAAACATTAACCCTACAACAGCTCCGTGAGATGGCCTGTGCTCTTGAACCATACGCCACTGAACCTCGTTTTAGCCTGGTCTAGTATCTCCTGCAAGCCCAGCCAGTGCGTCACGCCAAGAGTGCCAGGAAGACTGGTTCTGCCCCAGAGCAAGGGGAAGATCTGAAGTGCCCACAGCAGCTGGCTGTCTTCATGCAGAACTGCAGAGGTTCAAAGCCACTTGGTGGGCCCAGAGGCCCTCCCTGCTACGTAGTGAGGAGAGCGCCCAGGCAGCCTGAGAGACCAGGCAATGGCGATCCCAGATGTGCCTCCCTCAGCCCTATTCCCCTCCTCCCCATCCACAGCATCCCAGACTCAGTCTGACCCAACTGGCTCTTCAAGGTCAGACCGCAAGGTATCCCTGCAGTTGGTCCTGTGGCCTTGCCAGCCTTCCCGCCTGCCAGTTTGCAGCGACTGCCCAGTGCTGGCTGTGGACCTCTCCCCTGCACCAGGCTGCCTCACCTTGTGGCCGAGCTGGGAGGCTTCAGCACGAGCGGCACCTGCCACAGGCTCGATCAGGTTGCTGATCTCCTGAACAGCTGTAAGCATCTGGTTGTGCAAGGCCTGAGGAAGGAGACAGCCCTGAGCACAAGTTTGGGGCAGGGGAGCCACTCCCCTCCAGCTGCCAGAGGAATCCCCAGAAGCTTCAGCAGGAGCTGAACCCAATTCTGACACAGGAGGACCTTTGGTCCCCTGCCTCTGGCCAGAAGGGGCAGGCCAGCCTCCCTCCCTCCCTCCTCTTCTCCACTGCTGGAAAGGGATGGTCCTTCTGGTGCCCATGGGCCAGGGACCCTCCAGCTTGGAGATGGCCGTAAGCCAGAACAGGCAGGGCTCCCATGGCCGGTCAGCCCGGCTGCTCTCGAGCACGATGTGAGACGAGGGCCTGGGGGGCATTCCCTCACCTCCTGGGAGATGCCTTCCCGGGGTGCCAGCTGCTGGCTGATGGCAGCCAAAGAGGCTTGGTCCACATCGCGGATGCACTTGTTCAGCGTTTCAATGGCTTGGTCACACTCTCGCTGGCCAGGAGCCTTGTCCCTGCAGACAGCAACGGCAGCCATGTGTGCACCCCTGGGCACTCCCAGCACGTGGAGCCACGTCCCTGCTGTCCCAGCCTTGCTGCCCCCATCCCAGGCTACCTCATCTGTTCTCCCTTACCCAGTTCTGCCAACCCCCCACAGGGGATCAGCCACAGAGGTGCCAGCGTACTGCTAACGATTGGACTTCAAAGGGAGCCAGTTTTCCAGACAACTGGCAAGAAACTAAAGGTGGCAAGCCCTGAATCCTATGGAGATCTCACCAATTGTGCAAATGGGACATTAAAGTCATAAAGTAAGGGGAGGAAACACCTTAGTTTCCCTGACACACTACTGGAGTCTGGGCCAGGGAGTGGCTGGAAGAGGCTGTGGCTGCAGCCAAGAGGGCCTTTGTGTACAGAGCCCCCACCTCACAGGCAATTCTACAAGTCCCCTAAGTGATACGGGCCCATCCTTGTCCATTTTTGGCTGCTCCAACATCCACCTTCCGCTCTTCAGCAGAACCCATTCTAGTTTAGCACATAACAGGAAGGGGAACCGCAAAGCAGGGTCCTAAACACCCCCCCTCCCCCCAATCTCTTCTGGCCACTGCTCTGACTTTGAGGCTCAGCAAGCTGGAAGTTCTCTGAAGAAGGAACACCTGGGTACAGGAAAGGAAGTGAATCTGCTTGGAAAGAGCAGCTGACAAGGCCTCCCTTCTGGGAAACCTCTGAGTCCAGCTGCACAGGCGAAGAGCGCGATCAGGCATCGATTTGTACTTCGGAGCTGGCCCAGACGATGCATGCCTGGCCTGCCTCAACCCGCTCTGTGCTTGCCTGCCTGAAACCAACTCCTTATTACAGGTGCCACGCTGACCTTAATTCTGCACTGGTCTACCTGGGTAGGGATCAGGGTATTGGGCAGGCAACCTTCTCCCATACGAACCTGACCCACAGCAGCATTCTCTGGGCCCTCTAGCAACTCAGGTTGTCTAAGAGAAAGCGGCTAATGGAGCTTTTAAGCTCTTGTGCCTGCAGACTTCATTCCATCATAGCTATTTGTGTGTATGTTGGTTTGGACGCTATTGCGCTAACTACTGCCTGGGAGAAACAGGATATAAATACAGTAATTAAGCGCCATCAGTTCTGTTATTAAACTGCACAGCGGCCACTCAGATGCATCAGGAGGGGAGTCAGGCTCCTCTGGGGGCCTCCTGAGCAGCCGGAAGTCGAGGCAAACCACAGGACATGAACTTATCCCAATCCGTTCTGAAAACCGGCCTTGCAGCACGGAGATAATCAGCACCCGGTTCCAGAGTTTAGTCCTACACAAAGGAATGCTTCTATTTCTCCACCCAGATCTCCCTGAGCTGAGTTTCAACAGAAGACCCTGTGCTTAAACCCTGTGAGGGACAAAAACGTAACGCTGCCCTCGTTTCCTGTATCCTGAAGAATTTATATGCATTTATGGTATCTGCCTTTCCCCCAAGCCCAGGAACCTCAGGTGATGTAGCCATTTCTTGCTGGGGAGCCGTTCCGGCCCCTTGCTCGTTTTTGGCTACCCCTTATCCCATCCCTATATAGGTAGTCTTTGTTTAGTGACCACAATTACCGGTCACTAACTGAAACTGCAACTATGCTTATGATCTAACTTCAGCTTTCCTTTGCTTTACAGACATACGAAGGTCATACACGTGAGGTTTGGTCGTAAAATTACTTTTTCATCACCATCATAACTGCAAACGGTCGCTAAATGAGGCAGTTGCTAAACAAGGACTACCAGTATTGGCCCTTTTGAAGTGTGGCAATCAGAGCGCTGGGGAATGGTACTCTGCCCCTCAGTCTCCCTCAGGCCGATGGCAGAAGCACATCTGAATTTGGAACATCTGCCAGGTTGGGCCAGAATCACCAGCAGCTGCACAAGGCAAGGGAAATCAGCCTCCCTCTCTGCTTCTGAGGATAGGGGCCCTCAGGGGCTCGACTGCACCTTCTCCTAGATCTGAAGTGCCTCAGACTGAGGTCCCCAACTTAAACTCCGTGGGGGAAGGAACTGGGTCCTTGGCAATGAGGGCAAAAAGCGGGCACCCACCTCATGTTGGTGATGAGTTTCTTGATCGAATCAGAGACAGTGCGTGAATGGCCAGCCAGCACTGACCACTTGGGAGGGTCCTTTGGGTTGACAGCCAGTGAGCGTGCGGTCTGAATGAGGCCAGCAGAACTTTCCAACATGGTCTTGGCAGAGGAAAGGATGGGCTCCATGGCTCTGCGCCCCTATGGGGAAGCAGCACGGGGTCACTCTGGGCCAATGGACCAAGGGCTGTCCAGAAAGGACCCTTCCTTCTCCTCCTCCTCCTCAAAGCCAAGACTGGCAGGCATCCAGCATCCTCCACCTACCTCTGGGCTGATCTGCGCAGGGATGGTGGCAAACTCGGGATTAGAGGCAAAGGCGGTCAGGTTGTCCACTGCTTCAATTAGTGGGGCTGTGGCTTCGCGGCAGCGCTCACGGTTTTCTGGAGTGAAAGCGCCATCCAAGGCCTGCAGGGAGACCCACATCCTTTAGCTTCCATGCTGTGACGGACCTCACAGCTCAGTGGAAAAGCTCTGCCCAAGCCTAGAGCCCACTTCTTGCTTCCACAGAGACCCCCAACCCATGAAAAGCTTAGAGGCAGTCACACAGCCAAGCTGGAGGGGAGCCAGCCTGGAGCTGCAAGGAGGTCATTTAAACCTCACAGCCACCCATCTGGCCAAGAAACTTTCCCTCACTCTTTGCAAGATGACCTGTCTCTTTAACATCTGTTTCTTTCTTAGCTGTCAGATGTACAGGGTACTGGTCAAACCCAGAAAATGGGTTAAGCACACAGTGCAAATGCAGCTGTTCAGTTCACGATCCAGCAAGACGTGGACATCCTATTTACATTCACACCTCTCTCTCTGCGTGGTTTGTATTCCTGAGGCACCCAAATGGAGGCTTCTCTTTTCTCTCTACTGAGTATCATCTTCCCAGTTGGGAATCTGGGGGTACCTTGATGGTCTTGACGAGGTTAGCTGTGCTGTTGGCTACCTCCTTGGCAGACTGGACAAACTGGCGCTTGGCTACTGGGTTGGCAGTGCGGGACGAGGCCAGTCGGCAGGTATTGCAAAGGGCGGAGGTGTGTTTGGCCACGATGGTAGCAGCCGACAGGACCTGTGGGAGGCAAGGAGGTCCCTCTGCCTTAGCCCCACCCAGAAGGAGAGAGACAGGAATCACCCCGCAACAAAGAGAACGTGACCGCCCCCCACCTCTGTGGGAGGAGCCCCACCGGTCAGCCAGGTCGTGCCCTTCAGCGCTTTGGGGCTGCGCTCTCAACAGCCTGACTCAAGAGGCCACCCGCCCTCACGCAGCCATCCTCCACCCAGATCCCGGGCGGCTCGTTACCTGGGCCTGTGTGCAGGCCGGGTCAATCAGGTTCTGGCAGGCCATCTGGATGGCTTGGTTAGCTCTGGCAAACTGGGTGGGATCCACCAGGCCTTGCTGCCCGGCCTGGCTGTTGGGATCGGAAACGCCGACCAAGTAAGCTGCCTGCAACAGAGCACGGGATGGGGGAGACCTGACAGCAGGGAAGGCAAGAGTCCCTACAACGTCTTCCCTCCACAGCAAGGAGCTTCGCACCCATCAGCCTTGCAAGGGGGCTCCTGCCTCGTACCTGGGCAGCTGCTTCAGTGAAGCCGCAGAGGGCCTTGGAGGCTGTGCTGACAGACTCGCCAAATTCGGGCAGCTTGCTGTTCTTGGCATTCTGGGAAATGCCGGCCATGGCCTCACCCAGCACCTGCAGGAGACAGAAGGCATGGGAAGCACAGGGGGTGTACTGTGGATCCTGGGAGCTTCTGGCACTAGGTCAGCAGGGAGCAGTGCCCAGGCCATCCAAAAAGCACAGGTTTTAAGGGGTGAGAAGAGGTCCCAGAGGTCTGCAAAACTTCCAAGAGTTGGTGACCCAGAAAGAGGATGGACTCCCTGCACCAGATGTGTTGGAGCAGAAACTGGACTTCCTTCTGTCTGGACCCCTGCCTGAGCTTGGGGGAAGGGGGACCTGAAGGCCTCAAGAGCCCCTCGCAACTAGAGCTCTCAGCGCCCTGCTTACCACCGGACCCACCCGCCGCTCACCTTGGAGTTCTCCATGACGCTGTCCAGGCAGTTGAAGTAGGACATGTCACTGACCGCCTGGGTAGGGTTCTCCAGAAGCTCTCGCACCGTCTGGAGAGGAGAAACCGGTTGAGCCTCAGGCTGGACCTGCCCTGCCTGCCCCCCAGCCAGCACCACAGCAACTGCCCTTCTCCCAGGGACAGGCGGGCTTACCTCCAGCTCCCGTAGAGCATTGTCACACTCCTTCTGGCCTGGTGCCTGCTGGGTGCACATGGTGATCAGCTGGTTGATGCTGTCTGTCACAGCCCTGCCGGGCGGGAGGAGAGAAAGAGGCTGCTGTTAAGCCCACCCCCGCCCCCCAGAACTCAGTGGGGCCACAGGCGTCCAAGCTCAGAATGGCCGTCTGGCCCTTTGCAGGTACCCCGCCAGCTCCCTGCTTCCCGCCTCCACGAGGGGGGCTGTGTACCGGGCAGCTGCTGCAAGCTGGCTCTTGAGGTTGGGTGCTGCAGGGTCTGCCGAGAGGGCTTTGGCTGCGAGGAGCAACTTGCTGGAGGAGAGGGAGATGCTCTTCAGGTTGGACACCACCTGGGCCTGGGCCTCCTTGGACTGCGGGGAGACAGAGGGAGCCACCTGGCCTTGAGCTGCCCCCACTGCAATCCCTCCCGCTGCCCTCGCCTTCTCCTCTCCTCTCCTCTCCTCTGGTGACCCTGGAGCCTCGGGGCCTGGGCTGTTCCACCTCCTCTCTCTGCTCGGGGGCAGCCGCGAGGGGAGGGCAGCCTGAGTCCAGCCATGCGCAGGCTTGCTTTCCGCCTTCCCTGCCACTTCTTCCTCGGGAGTTAGCGCCCTTCTGAAACTACGATGGCCCCAAGCGCCAGCTGGAAGCCTGGTCGGCAGACCAGGCTCTGCTTCTGCGCCCTCTGGTCCCTGGGCGAGAGGGGCAGCCGTGGAGCGCCCTGACCCAGCCACGCGGGCAGCGCCGCTGTGCTCAGCAGCGTGCCGGGGTGGAGCTGGGAGAGACCCGGCTGCCCTGCTGCATCCCACCCCGGCCCTTTGCCGACGACCCCGGCCTCTGGCACGACTGCTCAGGGCCACCCGCAGCTGCGCCATGCCTTCAGACTCTCCCCAAGCAGGCCCCTCCACGGAAACCGCCTTGCAGGAGGGAGAGCAGCTTTGCATCTCTAATCACTGGGAGTTTTTCCTACCCTGAAACGTCTGAGGCCTCACCCCGCCTGCCGGTCACGGGGTCTGATGCTGCACACCCAGCTCCCTTGACCAGGGGTCCACGGCCTGCTGCCTGGCAGCTCCTTGCTAACCTCCCCTGGACACGCAGGACCAGCACAGCCTGGAGCAGCGTAGGCCTTCCAGTTCTGCCCAGCCAAGTATCCGGCTAGCCTCTCGCACCACACACATGCGTGCAAACGTGAGTGTGTGCACACAGGAGCCTTTCCTCCTAGGACAAGGAGCCCCCTCCTGCACGCACAGTGGGGACCTTCCTTCCCCGCCAGCGCAGCTCTTACCTGGGACTGCCCGGCCATCTCCACCCCGGCCTGCAGGAACTCATGGAAGTCCTGGCCAAACTTGCCGGAGGCCTTGGCCAGGTCCTGGGGGGTGCCACGTGATGCCTGCACCAGCTCATTGGCTGATTGGTTCAAGCCAGCTGCTGCCTGGTTCAGGTGACTCTGGGCCTCCTGGAAATTCTTGGCACTGGGAGGGAACTGGGAGCAGAAAGAGGAGGAGTCAGGCTCGGTGGTCCAGGGGCCCCTCATATCCTCCTGATGAGGCAGGCAGTGGCCGCAGCCCAGGCAGTTTCCACGCGCACAGAATGACTTGGTCACAATCGCCAGTTCTCCTGCCTTCTCCATCTCAGCTCCCTTCAGACCTGGGATAGCCCATCCCTGTGGCCACCAAACCACAGGGCTGGGAACGTGACCCCTTCCCCCCGGCCAGAGCAATGCAGCTTCTCTATAGAGCATCCAACAGCCCGGTTTTCCAGCTGGTTGTTAATCTCCCTGCTCAAGCAAAGTTTGACTGCAAAGCCAAGGAAGGAGACCATGGGCTCCCACCACCTGGGGCCAGAATCCCTGAGGGGAAAGCAGCAGAACAGCCAGCGCCTTCTACTCCACAGGCCCAGTGGAGAAGACCAACTCCCCAGGCCCAGAGCGGGCTCTCAGAGAACCTCTGAGACCAGCCAGGACTGAGCGCAGCGTGAGTGCATCTCACAGGCAACTGGATGGGATGGGTGGGGGGCATTTTTCAAACTGGCTGCTGCAGAAGGGCTCAAGGGATTGGCTTCGGAAGGGTGGTGGTGGGTGGCTCTCTGCACAGGTCAGCCACATCCCAAACGAAGTTCGCCTTGCCAACGTTGATCTGGCTTGTGGCTCTGCCCCTCCCCAGGGCCACCCACCTTCCTGGTTTGAGGGCCTTCTTCCAGGCCAAAAGCAGCCTCACACTCACAGAGTCAGCCAAGAGCCTCTTGCTGGCCTCGCCAACGGTGCGGATGGCGGCGTCGACGTCCCGCTGGCCTGGCAGGCAGTTCACGCAACGGTTCAGGGCCTGGGACACAGCCTTGGCCACCTGCCGAGAGAGCACAAAGTGTCCAGCCTGCCCTCCCAAGCACTGAGGGGGGGGGAACTTCTGCCCCTACTGAGGCTCCTCCAAGACCAGGGCCCAATCAGGTCTCAGCGGGGCTCACCTGGGCCAAGCGCTGCTGGCTCTCGGGATCCCCTGGCTTGGCCACAGCCTTACGGGCCTCCTGGATAAGGCTGCTGGCTTTGTCCATGACGTCTCCTGCGCAGTCCAGCGTGGCTGCTTGCGCCTGAGGGTCCTCCGTGTTGGCGGCCACCCCCCGTGCAGCCTGGCTGAGGGAGCGCAGCGCATGTGCCACATCCCGGGCTGCAATCCCTGCAGGGAGGGGGAGGGAGAGGCAAGGGGGTCCTCAATGCTGGCTGGACCGGGCATCCCTGCCCTGCCCTCTTGGATGGCTGAGGAACGTTCCTGCTTCTGGAGTCTAGCAGTGGGACGAGGGTCATGCCCCACCCCAAGAAGGGCAAACCCCATCTGGGCTGGGGTGTCCCAAAGGGAAACAGGACCAAAAAAGCCCCCTGCATCTCAAGCCAGACAATCAGAAGGGATTGATTCCTGTCACCTGAGAGGGAAGTGTCCTGCCGCAGGACGGGGGGGGGGTGGCGCGTGC